TTGTTTTTTTAAGTTCACTCACTGTCATTTATCCGATGCTATGAACTGACAGCAGCCAAAGATACTGGAATTCGTCAAGGAGTCACAGTTTGAAATGTTTTGTCCCATTATTGCCATTTGTACCTAGGTTCTAAAACTTATCATCACTGTACATGTAAGAGGATCATTAATTGATTGATGTGATATTCAACATTACTGACCCTACTAATGAAACCCGTAGGAGCCTCTAGACAAAAGACACAGGTTGCCACTCCAGTTGATTTTCTCAACTCAGAAATGTATTCATTTAGACAGAATAGCAGAGCTGGAAAGATACTTAGAAACATGGAGTTCAGTCACCTTCATCTAACAGCGAGGAAGCTGAAGCCAGATAGATGGGTTTTGCGACCTGCCTGAGATGGCACAGCTTGTTAGGGCCACAGATGGTACAAGAAACCTGATGCACTGGCCCTTGGGCCTGGACCCCTATGTAGTACCTAGAACACCTCGGACTACATTAGAAATTCAAGATCAAACTTTTACTTCCATCTTGGTATCTGTGTTAAGAAGAAAAAGATCTGAAAAAAAGTATCATGACAGGTTTCTCCCAGGATATGGGAAGGAGTATTGTTGAAAAGGTGAAAGGGCGGAGGAAAGGGATCTTGAATAATGAGGCTTTGAAACTTATCAGAAAAAGTGGGGTTTGTGGCAACACCACAATTCATTTGTGTTTCTATCCTTGTTTCCAGAATTTTCCCCAGAGAATACCTCCTTCAACAGATCCACCTGTATTCCCTCGCTGATCTACAGCAGGTAAGCACTCAGAGGGGCCATTTCATTTCTGTTTTCTCCCTGGGGAAGTATGTTTGTTGGTGATTGTCTTGACACTGAGTTCTGCCATCCTTGGGGTAGTTTTCTTTACAAGCCCTGATAATCAATTGATTTCTATTCAGAATGGAAAAAAAACAAACCTTAGTATAAAAAGATATTCCAGGACAATAACAAATGCTGGCAAGGATGTAAGGAAACTGGAGCTCATACATTGCTGGTGGGAATGTACAAGGGTACAGCCACTTTGGAAAACAGCTTGGCAGTCCCTCAAGGAAGTCAACAGAGTTACCTTATGACCCAGCAGTTTCACTCCTAGATACATACCAAGAGAATTAAAAATATATGTCTACTTTAAAACCTGTCCATGAATATTCATAATAGCCAAAGAGTGGAAACAACCCAAATATTCATCAACTGATAAATAAACAGAATGTTGTATTTTCACACAGTGGAATATTATTTGGCCACGAAAAGGAGTGAAGTACTCATACATGCTATGACATGAATGCATCTTGAAAACAGAATGCTAAAAGAAGCCAGACAAAAGAATACATATTTTATGATTGATCCATTTAAATGAAATGGCAAATCCAAACAGGCAAATCCATAGAGACAGAAAAAATAGATGAGTGGTTGCCAGGGCCTGGCGAGAGCAGGGGAATGTGGAGTGACTGCTAATGGTCGGGGGTTTCCTGTGGGGCTGATGAAAATGTTCTGGAATTAGAGGTGGTGGTTGCACAGCTTTGTGAATATATTAAAACCACTGAATTGTATACTTTAAAAGAGTGAATTTTATGGTATGTGAATTATATCTCAGTAAAAAAAAATTGTACAAGATAAAAAGATATAAAAGGCAGTGAATGTACTAAACTCTTTGTGCTCGAGCCAAACAGTTGGATAACTTTAAATTTTAATAAAACATAACAGAGCACATAAGAATCAAAATCACGCTTTTATATTTTAATGAGTATATGTCTTTTTAATGATTGGCAGGTTAGCAGCCAGGAAGAAAACCAATATTTTGTCTGTTCAACCTGAACTTTTGAATATGTTAAGCTATGTTAATCATTTAAATCGACAACTCACTCCCTAAGGAGCTTTCAGACACTAAGTGAAAGCATTATCTATTGATTCTTTCAAGAGTCAATTTTTAAAAAATAATTGTCACAATTTTGAAAACATCTCAAACTGCTGTGAATCTGTTCTTTTGTTTGTTGTTGTTGTCCTCTCTGGTTGTTTTGCCCAGAAGAAATGAGGTCAACTTAAAAACTGTGTTCAGATCCTTCCGTAATTTTTCAAGACTTTAAAAAACAATCTTGAAAGGTAATTTAAACTTAAGACTTTTGTGTTCTTTGTCCCCCAGAGGTAGGAAATTAGTTTTGAATGGTAAACATAGTTTCAGAGCATTTAGTTGAAGAGGTCTGAGAAAATACTAGGGTTTTCATTTCTACCCGTGCATCAGGTTGAAGCCTCTTTGCGCATGTCAGCTCTCTCCGCTCCTTCAGCCCTGCCTGCCCATCACCACATAGCCCAGCAGCGGCAACCGGCTGGCACCGGTGGGAATTGCCCGGCGGTGCTCACAGGGAAGCACCGATGAAAATACCCATTCTGCATCTACGTATTTTCTAGGACTCTACCCGACCATAGCGTCTGAGGACCCAGACCCTATCACTTGAGAAGTACGTTTAAAGGCACCAACGTATTTCTCGTAGGTGCTTTAAAACAGAATGGGTGGCCTCCAAAGTTGAGTCCTCTTTGAGGAAACCCTTCAGAAGTGAGTTTTGATACCAGATGAAGAGAAAGAATCTGAGTAATTCCATATTCATTTTAGAGTGTCAAAGTAGGGTATCCATTTGACATAATTAAAATCTGCTTTTTAAAGCTTTCTTATACCCTGGTGTATTCCCCCCCCCCTTTCCTTAGCTGTTCTTTCCCTTGTAATAATCAAACCACACATGCCAAGCAGCTTACTTAAATCTTGGTGGGCCAGACCATTAGCCCCCAGAGCGCCATAAGCAGCTTAATCAGCTTTCAGCCTCAGTAGTAAAGTGACAGAGGCAAAGCAGCCGCTCATGAAACTCCCTGTGGGCGGGGCAGCTAGAGCTCCTGCATCCATTTACTCCAACCTGGCTCTTTGTGCGGGCTTGAAGATCCCCAAACTTATCATATTTAGAGGAAGTTTAATTCAATTACCTTTTCTGCCTGAAATGGGTTAAATTGGATTTAGCTTTTGATCTGTCTATATCTAGGCTATCAGTACTGAAGGGCACCTCAGTGCCATCTTCCCCCGGTTTTTAAGTAAATTTCAGGCATGCTTTCTGGATCTGAACTGGTTTTGCAAATAAATATATAAGGGAAGGGAACGCAGGAGGAAAAACAATACTATTGCTTTGTGACAGAGCATGTCAGTGGGAGCAGGCAGCCCATCCTAATGGACCCGACTGCCAGCCCCGTGTTGTCCTGTACCATTTTGGCCTCTGGCTGGCTGCTTCATTGTCCTGTTGTATGTTAGCTTCAGGAGTTTTAGAGTAAGCTATTTTCCCCCGTTGCTTTTCTCTCCTCACTCCTAAAATAAAGGTCTCTATAAAAGCAGATCTTTCAAAAAAGCAACTAGAAAAATACATTTCAGTTTATAATTTTGCAGGGAGAAGATAAACTAAAGCAAGTAATGTAAAGAGTTATAGATCTCAATAATGATAATATTAATATCCTTAAAGGCATAGATTCCTTTCTATAAATTTCTCTTGAGTGAATTTGACTTTTTTCCCATTAGTTATTATTTAAAAAACAAAATGTAGATATCTTCCTCTCCAAAAAGAAAAAAGGTAAGAATTTAACAGACGTTGTAAAGGGGGACTTATAATTTAAGTATACATAATTTAAAAATAATATAGTACACAAAACGTTAATAATATGTAAAATAAGGATGCTGAAAGAATTCTGATACCAAAATATTTGCAACCTTTTTTACCTCTCTGTTTTCATTTTTATAAGTAATAATCCCTAAAGTGTTAGCAGATAGACTCAGTTCAAAAATCTGGCTGAAGATTTCAAGATACCTTAATGCTTTTGATGTTACATTCCAGACAGTTTTTTTCCCTCTTCTCATTATTTGAATTTACTGGCCTCTTTGCACACATTTTCCCTTATGATTGTACAATTTGGACAACCGTGAGGAAATAAATCATGCAGACTGACACTGCTTAGCAAAGGGAACACCCTCTAGTTCTGGGAGCATTTGTCACCTGCCCACTGGCCAGTGAGTGCCAGTGACTGGCAAGAGTTGTAGCTTATGCTGGTACTGAGTCCCTAATTGTCTGTTTCACCAGTGACTAAGGTGCTCACTGGGTTTGACTAGCACACAGTGAAGGTAGTAGTAGTTGAACAACAAAGTCATTACCGGACTATAATCCGTGGCAACATGGTAACATGTAAGATAAGAGACAAGCACTCCTCCTGGCCTAGCAGCAATGCCAAGGAAGGTAGCACGTGGTGGGGACAGAGGCTTTCCAACCCTTGAAGCTTGAGTTACTCGTTTCTTAAGTTTGGGATTTCAGATGAATTTCTGTTCAGCAAAGTAAATATTGCTAGAAAAAAAATCTATTAAATCCGTGCTCTTTGATTGTGAATCTAACAGAAAATAAAATCTTATAAACAGAAGCTTTCTTTCTGGAAGTGAGAATGCATAGTGGTTTTTTGAGAATTGACAGAGTGGTTCTTTATAACAGTTTTGGCAGGCAATGACTAAGCATATGTGAACAAATGGATGAGAATTGGTACGTTTGGAATGGGGAAACTGAGGTACTCTCTTTAAGAGCTTTTTCCTGGTTTGATACTTCGAGAAGGGGAAGTAGAATAGAATTTGTGTTTTGTTCTTTTCAGTCTGTCCAGCATTATCACAATCCATGGAAAGGCTCTAAGATGGAAACACAATAAAAAGAGAAGCTCCAATGAGACAGCAGGAAGAGCACCGTAACTCTCAGTGCATTCGCTCTCCTCTTTCCCTGCGAAGCATGGGACAAACCATCTCCTTACTCCCGTCTCCCTGGCTGTTTTAGCGCTGATAAGAAAGTTCCCCATTTTACCAGTAGAATACATTAGTATATGTAAGTTAATGTTCCAGAGAGTGTAGTTGGTCGTAAGGAGCCAATCAGAACCCTGGTTTAATATGTCATTCCTCGGACTGTGTAAGTGATAGGAGAATTCTTCTAAAGTTCCTTCTAGCTGCTGAAAGGAAAGGTCAGATTTAACTTCTAAATTTTGGCTACCTGTGCTCTTGTGACAAAAACCTAAAATGTATATTAATGACTAACTCTTCTGGTGTTACTCACCTTTGGGGCATATGTAAGTTAAGCACTGAATGATCGTGTTTGTGCGTGACTCATGAGAAAGGCTACTGGACGATCCCAGGGGTGAGGCAGCCGGTGAGAGTAGCCCCTCCCCACCCATTCCCTCCACCGCCCCCCACCTCACCCCACAACACACACACTCTTCTTGTGGGACAATCTGACGAGCCGATTTCCCCATTGTTCACCTTCCCGAGGCCTTAAATTTCCAAACGAGGCTGTGCCTTTGGGTTCAGGCAATTTCGATTCTAGTTAATATGAAATATATTACCTGAAAAGAACCAAGTATGATTTTGGCACAAATTCATGTGTCTTAACAATAACTTGAAAACATAGTATGATATTTGAGGGGAGAGAGATTTCAACAGATAAGGTTTAAGGGTGAAAAAACAGGTGGAAAAGTCTGGAATTTGAAGTACTTCCTAAAGAGATGTGAAGTGGGGAAGGATGCCAGAGAGGAGGACCCATAGTACTCAAGAGCCATGAAATGAGAGAGGAGTAAATCAAATGCACACTACTACCTTTCTCGAGTTGCCTGGGACGGTCTGCACTGTTTGTTTTCCGTTAACACAATCAACGCTTATACTAAGCAGCTGGGCATGTATTTTTGATGAATTAATGGTGATGGATGGATGA